ACCTCCCGTATGCCCTAAACCCTAATTCCTGCAGAGTCACTTGCTCGATGTGCTTGACTGAACCCTCGCGCACTTTTTCCTTTCACAGGACCTGGTGCATTAATCGAGTCGATAAGAAGACCAAGAAGTCAGGTCGATCAAAAGCGAACTGATGCCCTGCACATATGCAAAAGCGGCCGCATTCTGCATGATTAACCATTCCTGATCTCCCCACCCCCCCCCACCAGCTGGGGACGGCCCAAGTTGAGCCCGAGCAGCACCACCATGAGGATATCGATTGGGCGGGTTGGGTGGGGATTCTGCAGCAAAGCAGGTCCGGTCGCTGGAGGCGCCACCGGCCCATTTGCCAGTAGCGGTGGTGGAGGCGCTGGCACAACTGTGGGCATCACCATGCCCAGCTGCACGTACAACCAATTTGTCACATGGTCTTCAACCTCCGAGGCCGCTAGCGCAGCCTGCTGCCAAAGCTCCTTGAAAACGTGCAGCGCCAGGCCCATCAAGGCTCGCGCCACCAGGCGGATGACGAGTGCGATGGCTAACGCCACCACCCGAGGGAACAACAGCACCATCACCAGCAAGGATATAGTCACCCACTTATCGCGCAAAGGCCAGTTGGAACGAGAGAGCCAAGCCGTCCAAGCTGCTGATGCCCCAGGCGGAGAGCTTGAGGAAGACAAAGCCGGTGTCTTTAAAGGCCGCGGCCGTACCGGTACTGGTTGGCCAGGAGCTTCCACTGGTCGTGGCGCAGGCGTACTCACCCAGTTCCGGATGGCTTGCGCTGTTCTGGCCAGAATAGCCGTCATCTGCCGGGTGGTATTTCCCGAACGCCAACGGGCAGCTTGAGCAGCACCATCCGGATCACTAAGGATTTGCGTGGCAGACCGTCCCGATTTATCCACAGCTTCCGTACCTAGGCTCACTGCGGCTTCGTTAAGGCCATCCATCATCTTCGCGGCTGCCACCTCCAAGGGATTCACAGGCGAATGGCGGGCATGGGGACGTTCGGAAAGGCCTCGTCCCACACCTGCGCCGCCATTTGCTTGTTGTCTATCCTCCTTAGTCTGGCGTGAGACCCACAAAGTTTGCCTCCTGGAAGTGCCCGCTCGATTTTCTTCCATGTGGTCGCTCCGGGACCGCAATGGTATCCGCAGATTTCGGGCTTACCCGGGCAATAGAGGACAACGTAATGTCTCCAATCACCGTGGTAGCTTACGTGGGACCCCGTCACCGAAGAGGAAGCCAAAGAAGCCGAAGAAGCTGGAGGCGAAGTAGACTGCCTCGCCCCTCCCAGGAGTTGGTCACGTTCTGCTGCACTGCCTTGTGCCCGGCGCAACTTCTGGGTTCCGCCCTTCGTGTCAACCGCCGGCCCAGCGTAAGAGCTAGAAGCGGTAGAAGTGACACCTGTACGGGTAGTTGGCCGGCTTCCGGGCCCTGGCCGCTGTTGTTCAGGAGAAGTGGCTGGCACCACGCCCCAGCTGTCCTCCTCAAGGGCTGCTGCTAACTCCCGAAGGGCCGCGGCCAGGCGGGTCATGACCACACTACCGGAGAACTGAAGCCCAAGTTCGGCGCGGAGGTTGATTCAAGTAATCCACGTATTTGAAAACCATGCCCAAAGTTTCACGGGTGCTCGCACTAACCTGCGACAGGACATGTACAGCTAAAGCCTCTTGGAGGTAATGACGCAATGTCTCAGGTCGACGCCATCGTCCTGCGAATTGCAACACTCCCAGGTTCTGTTGAGTCTTGAAGTGATGGCATGCCCCACCGCCCCGAAACGAGGCCAGAGTTAGGTGGCACTGACCGAGACCCAGACTCTCCAGAGCATCCTTCAACAGAAAGCTCCACCTCCGGCGCCCCATGGCCAAGAACCGCTCCTTTGGCTGCCTTCCTTCCAGAAACCAGCGTAACCACAAAATGAGGCTCCGGCTACGAATGATGACAAACTGATTTGCCCACACTCGGCGAGTTTTTGCCTGATGGATGGAAATCACGAGCCCGACGCCTTCAACTAACTCAGCGGCCTCCGGGAACACAAAGTCCTTCACCCTCAGGCCTTCGACCTCACCAGGACGGAGCATACCGTCAAAAGCCAGCCACAAACCCAGGAAAGTGGCACACCACTCCTGACATAGCGCACCTGTAGTGCGGGAGACGCGGCCGAGACACACGACCAGGAGGCACCTCAACACATAGTACGTTATGGGAACCCTAGGCTGGATAGGCTGCAATGTTCTCCACGCCCTAATAGCCGACCACGTTCCACTCAACAAGGGAGCTGATAGCTTGAAGCGACGCTGTAGCGAGAGGACCCCCAAATTGATCCAGTAGAGTTTTTCCCCATGTCCGTGCCCCCATTCCACGACTCGCTCCAACCAGGTGTCTACTTTTCGAGAGGGGCACTTTCCATCCAAACTACCACCCAGGTCCTCTACCTTTCCCAGCATCCAATCACCAGCCTCACGCAAATGACGGCGGTACTGTGGGGTCAGCGTCAAGTTCCGCAACCGGCCCACGGGATGCCCACCGCCAGCACGCATTGGCCAACTCAGTCACGAAGCCCCACGGATAGGCCCCAGCACGTTTAGCTCGAGAACCCCGTAGAGGAGGGCCGTGTACATGCTTTTTGGGACAAAGCTTGAGGATTGCAGATATCCACGGTGCATTGGACATGAGGACGGATGGTTTCTGATTTGGCAGCTCAGTATCCCACACTGAAGGGTACGCACACATGTCAACCCTATGCAACTTTACTCCCTGGTTCCGGAGGAAAAGCTCGGTGCAGCGTAAGCTCCAGGCTTTAGAGTTGCGAGGGTGTTCCAAAATGAAGTAGCCGTCAGCCTCAAGGATGAGATGAGCCAACTCAAGCGCCCGACCCCACAAAGCACTGCCATGCTGAACCTCTTGATTTGATGGATCCCCTTCAGGAACAACTCTCAAAGGCCCACTGCGGTCTAGATTCCGGAGAGGGGAAAAGCTGGAGCACGGCGGCGCCAACCACAACCATTTGACCTGCCGGGTCTTGATCAGCTCATCCAAACGAGGATCAAAGACATCCTCACCCCAGAGTAGATCAACAGGGTCCCTCATGTTGAGACCAGCCTCACGGTGCGCCCACGTGATCCGAGCCGAACCTGCACAGATTTCCAAGCCACACATCACCAAAGGGCCACACAATCCATACCGAGCCAGCCACTGAGGAGCTGCACGAGGAGGAGGAAGAGGTCGAAACCTGGAAGGATGATCAGCATAATTGGATTCCGTCTCAACCCAAAGAACGGCCAGAACAATGTCACCAAAGAGCAAGTAAGGCAGCATACCCCTGAGGATACCGTTCAGCTTGTAGGATGAAGACCGCCCCTTCGCCACCGCACATGTCACCACCATGGAGTCATTTAGGCAAATCTGAACTTGCGCGCCTGATGACAACTTCCCCGCCAGCTTCGCAACTTCCCGCCGAAGAGCACGACATTCCTGGAGGTTTATGTGGCTTGTTTGTCTGAAAACATAACTGGCTGTAACCGACCATGGTAATGCCTCAGCGATGACACTGGCAAACTGCGAAACCTCAATGGGCTCCGTCGCGATCTCAAAAATGCTTCGATCCAACCTGACTGGGGCCCCCCTCACTTCCGACCTTCGCCAAAATTCTTCAACTAGAGCTGGAGGAGCTGAGGCCCGAACTGCTCCACCGGACATGGGTGTTGCGTCGGTGGCCAGCACCGACTCCGAAATCCTGCGACGCATGTTCCAATGTGCGAAGGGAAGATGAAGGCTGAGGCTCCTCAACTCGTCGGTCACAAATCCCGGCAATCGAATCCATCTTCCTGCAGGCATTTTGGAAACGAAGGTGTACACCTTGTGTTGCAGCGCAAAGAATTCTCGCCTGAATTGAAAGGCGAAGGCTAAGAACCCATTGATCTTTTCCAGCACGTTTTTCGAAGCCCAGCCCTGCTCGCAGACCAACATGATTAGAAACCACAACTGCTGCCGCACCGCCTTCGGAGCTCCGATGCAACCACGTACTCCATCCACCTCGCCCCCCCAGGCTTTGAAATGACTGCTACCGCGGAAAGCCTTGTGAACTGCTCTCTGCAAATGCGCCTCCTCGTAGGCACCCTCAGCCTTCTGCACCAAGATGCTATTAGGATCGTCAACCTGGAAAGGCGGGAGCACAAAGGAGCCATCAAGGGGGATCGGGTAGGTGAGGGTGTGCCGGTACGTGACAAGAAGATCATCTAGGTATACTCCTTGCCAAACATCACCCTTGGGGACCGCCTTGCCATACACCAAAGTCTCCTGAGGATCCAGCAAGCCCGACTTCCGCAGAAC